AGCAACCCACCGTCACTTGCTTCATCAATTTTGCACCAGCTTTCGATTTACTTGATAGAGCAGAACTCTGGAAAATGATGGAATGTGACGATGTCTTAGAGAAGATCATTCGACTCATGAAGGCATTTTGTATCTTGGCACAGGTCTGGGTATATGGGGAACTGATAGACTCCTTCGAAATAAGAACTGGTGTCGGTCAAGGTTGTATTTTTTCCTTCACCATATTCGACTATAGACTGGATAATGAATACCGCTTGTTGACACTCAAGAGGTGTCCAAATCAGTTCAGAGTATTGTATCACAGATCCTGAATGCGCTGATGATGTAGTCCTTTTTGCTGACGTTTATAAGGAAAAGCAAATAATATTAAACAATGAGTCAACAACTACAACGAGAATTGGACCTAAAATCAATGTAAATAAAACGAAAGTCTTTTCATCTTATATACAAGAAGCTGTTAAAATACCCATAAATTCCTTGCCGGTTGAAGTGGCCGATTTTAAATATTTTGAACCCACTCTATTACCAAATGGCCAGGCAAAAGACGATATTATAGCCCGGATTACGGCAGTTAGGAAAGTTCTTCCGGTTGATGAAATCCTTATACAGCCGTTTCACCGAAATCACCGTAAAAACGAGAGTCCGCATTTTTATAGCCGTGATTCACTCGATTTTGCTATATGGTTCTGAGACCAGTGAAAATGGAGGATATTAAGAAGTTATCTGCTTTTGACCAATCTTCTAAGGTACGGGTCCATCGAGCGGATAAAATATCACATGATCGCATCCATCTTGTTCAAATACCATCTGCATTAATAATGTTATTACAGAGCGTTGCCTTCAATGGTTAGGGCACGTTCTCCGTCGTCCACCACAGAAGTTGACGCATATTTCGTTATTTGCTAAACTGTGTGATGGATGACGTCAAAAGCGAGGTGAGCCAATCAAGACCTGGACTAATACGATCAGAAAAGATTGTGAACGTATAGGTGGACGAGCAATATATGGACTTAGACAATGGAAAAAGGAATGGCTTCTGTTATTATCTGACTATGGCATCAAACCGTTTTATCTTTGTAGCCGTTGGAGCCAGCCTAAGCAGTAATAGTGAAAGTTATTAGAAGAAGAAGAAGACGGTCCTATCCTTATTAAAAATTTCATCTTCACGCATCAGAAGCATTAATTTTTTGAAATTTTCAAAATGAGATCGAGAAATAATGAGGTGAAAATTATGTGAATATAGAGCTGATTTTAACAAAATCCCTCAGATCCATAGTATAAAATAAGGAGAAAATTCATTCTAATTAGAAGAAAATTTTTTGAGGAAAATTTTTTTCTTGAGCGGTCGTTTTTCTATCCCGCTTTGTTATTTTTTTCTTACGCTATTTTTGAAACGTCCAAATTCGCTATAAATTCTCAGTTAAGCTAAGGTCTTTTAAATTTTTAAAAATTTCAAAATAAAGGATTAAATAATTAAAATAAATTATTAATTAAAATTAAATAAATTATGTAAATTAAATTATATAATTTATACTTTTTTTTTCTTTTAAGTTTTATTTCTTTTTATTTTCTATTTTATTTTTCATTCTTCTCTACTCTTTACTTTGTATTTCTTTATTTTTGGCTTTGTCTTTATTAAGAATAAACCTAATAGCAAAAATTTGCATGCCAAGAAGGCAGCCAAATGTCAGGCGATCCTGATATCTCTGACGCTTTAAAGAATTATAACGATAGCAGTATGGCGAAATCGCTATTGGATATAACCTTGAGAATAGAGACGACGCTTCGATTAGGCGATAAATATTCGATATTCTTCCTAAAGCAATTATAACTTGGCGAACGATCAGTGAAACAATAAGGGATTATAATGATATGACTGTTAAGGCTATTAAGAATCGGTTTATAAAGTGGATTTCTTCGAGGCCAGACTTAACCACGCCACCTATCTTCTCGGATAACTGACTCATTGGAGGAGGCATTTGTTTGTAATGGGAACGGGCAGGAGAATGGGAAATAATCTCTGTCATGAAGAAGCTTAAGGCCAGGAACTAAACTGTTGGAGAAGCTGGTCTTCAGCCTGAGTTCTTTAGATATTGTCTATCATCTTTCACAACAACAATTGGCCTATGGTATAATGGAAGAAATAATACCGGGTAAATGGACCTAAGCAATTCTGTTCCCCATTCCCAAGAAAGACAACAGGGCATATTCTGCCAACGATGAATCAGCTTATTAGACAACTTCGAGAAAAATTTTGCTTCCTTACTGCTGAATAGATCTATAAAAATACGAGGCAGCAAGATGTGCTCTAACCAATCTGGATTCGCCGATTGTGCTGATTAAATATTCAGGTTAAAAAGAGTGTTGTAATATTTCTGCAAGCTACCGTCATGTGTTGTTTCATCGACTTTGTGGTTGCCTTCAATTCAATTGATAAAACGACACTTTGGAGGGTGATGGAACTCTACGGTGTCCCAGAGATGATTCGATATAAAAGGTGTTTTGTCAGTGTACATCGGCATAGGTCTGTGCGTGTGGGGAACTGATAGACTCTTTCGAAATAAGGATCGTGTCCGCCAAGGCTGTATCCTCTTGATACAATATTCATCTATATGATAGACTGGATAATGGAAATTCTTGTTGGTCAATCTAGTCAAGAAAAAATCAAGAAATCCTAGTCAAGACAAAACATTATTTAGTCCTTTCTTCTGACAGTTTGACGAAATGCAAATAATACTAAACAATTTGTCGATAACTATAGCAAGAATCTAACTCAGGATCAATGTAAATAAAAATGTAAAAATGTAAATAAATAAAAGCCTTTTCATCTTATTTACTTGAAACTGATAAAACACTTATTTTAATCAATTTATCACCAGTTGAGGAAATCAGATGATTTTAAATATCTTAGATCCACTCTAATCACAAGCGAATGAAAGAAAGAATTACAACACGGTCAGGATAGATTGGGAAGGTAAAAGTGGACTAGCGATATGGCTTAGACAATGGAAAAAGAATAGTTTCTATTACTGTCGACGATGGCTTCGAACAACTTGGATATTACTCTTGTAGCCAGCGAAGCCAGCTTGACCAGCAATGGTGAGGGCTGTTAGAAAAAAAGCTTTATAGCAGAATCTCGATGAACTGAACGATCAGCCGAATTGAGCATTAAAAAAGATTTTAAAATATTTTTATCAAATTATCAATCTTCTGACAGTTTCCAAAGAAAATAAAATCTAAATCTTTTATAAACAAAAATTTGAAAAATATATGCGACAGTTTTCAGAATTTTTAAAAAAGAATCGGAATCGGAATCGTCTCGAAGTTTCAAAAACTTCGGAATTTTAGAAGGAATTAAAAAATGATAATTAAAAGTAGAAAATTTCAGTTGTTGGATGTAAAAAAGGAAGCAATTATTTTAATGAAGGACAAATTTGGACTGAGAAACATGTTCGTTATCAATGTGTATCTGACGGTGTATTAAAGGTACTCGGTAAGAATTTCGTCTAATTTCTGAAAACCTTATTTATTACAAAATTTTAAATAATTTCGACTCGATCGTAGAAGAACAAGTTGGATTATCTTATAGAGTGAAACCTCCTCACTTGGCATAGAACCACAAACATCACCAGCTCACCAGCATCATTTAGATTTCTCGTTTGGTGGCAGGTTTATGACAGTGGTTGAACTCCTGTTGCTTAACCCTAGTCAGCAAATCATTTCTCTCTATTAATATTCTTTATGTCCTTCATTATATTAATTCATAATATTCAGATCCGCAAAAAAAAAAGATTCTGTTCTGCAATTTAAGGTTGTGTTGATGATGGTGGATTTATTGAATTAGGAAAAGACGTATTAGTGAATGGTGTCGTTCATCGATGTTATAGAATTGGTTCGGTAACATATTACCACCGTTTCCGTTGTGATGCTCAAACATTAGCACAATGCACTAAAAATATGCGATTGGAATAATAGCTATTATTATTATTATTAAAATTATTATTAATTATTGTAACTATTAATTATTGTAATAATTTACTAAAATATCTTTCTCATGTAAAGATGATTATTTGTATTCTTACTAATGTTATATTGAAAACGATAAAAATATTCGACTGGACGTTCGGCGACATGGCGTAAGCGCGAAAAATTTCACAGAATTTTGTAAGATAATCAATTGATGAAATCTGCAAAAAAGTAATTTTCAAGCAAGATAAGTAAGACATAATAATTTTAATCTGAAATCTGAAATCGCTTACGATTTATTCGTTTATAAGTTATTAATGTCTTAATGTTTTATCAAAAGTAAATGCTCTATATCTTAAAAAAAATTTAAATAACCTAAGAATACAGGAAAAACAAATGACTATTTAGAGTTTATCAAGGTAAAATCCACTGATCTTCAAGGGTCTCCAAGAATCTTTCGAGAGATCCTCGAATGAGTGAAAAAAAATTTTTATTAAATTATTTATAGACTTATTAATACCTTTGTCAATTAGCATTTATCCACAAAATTTCACAATAAAACTGAAAGATAAATAATAATAAATAAATAATATTCATTCAAGATTCTACAAGCCTAAAATTACTGGGAATTATTCAACTACAAGTGAAATCTAAAAACCCACAACCTTTAAAATCTATGTGAAAGAATTTTGCAAACCATGTTTGGATATATTATGCAAGATTCAGTTCTCTGGAAGAGGATCTACTGCTGGAAAGGGAAAAAAAAGAGGACAATCTACAACAAGATGGATAGAATCAATTATAAAGACAATGAACGCACCACTTTGGTCTTGAAAGATCAAGTTAAAAACAGATTGCCTTAGAGATGATCCATCTTTATGATCCCTAGAAGTCTGAAACTTGATGGCACATCAGTTAATTTTTTAGTAGAGCAGTAGTCCTCATCCCTTCATGTCTCATAGCTTTCCTTTACATTCTTGCTCAGCTCAATAGACCATCGCTCCTCCTCTTTCCTTTCAGTTATTCAAAAATTCTATTTCTACTAAAGGACAAATAAGAGTTGAGAACTTAAAAAATAATAAAAACTATAAGAAAAAGGATCGAAAAACTGTGATTAAAAGGATTAAAACTTTTTTCAAACCTTAAAACTGTTTCATCAAAAATAAAAAATTTGTATAACTCACAAAAGCACAAAACAAAAAATTTAAATTATAAAATGCGGGAAAGTTGCAAAAAATTCTTCAAAAAATTCACTCCTCGTAACGAAATCTTTATATATTCTTATTTATTCTTTATTCTTATATGCATCTTTATATATTAAACCTTCCTACTTTGTCCTCCACGCTCAAATTTACTATTTACTATTATATATAATACAGTTCTTTCGATTTTGTACTATATTATTCTATAATTTCCTCTTTAAACTGTCAATTTTTGTCATATTTTCTATTTTTCTAATTACTAATTTTATTATTTGTTTTTTTTTAACTATTGTTATTAATACAAGCACATGGTGTTTGTCGCCCTGCTTGGCTGGTTTTCAATAAATTGATTGTCGATAGCGATAGATGTGAGTTCCTAGTATCACTCGAATTTTTCCAACAAGTTTATCCCAACGAGGAATAGAACCTCCGTATGCGAGCTACAATAATAAATAATAAATAACTGCAGCGAGAATTGGACTCAAAATTAATGTCAATAAAACGAAATAAAGACTAATAATAAAGATTATAATAATAATAATAAATAATAAAGACTACAACATCAGAGTATTCAAGATCAATGATATGATGCTCTGGACTGATTTGGGCACCTCTTGAGTGCCGACAAGCGGTGTCCATTATCCAGTCTATCGTACAGTTGAATACTGTAAGGGAAAGGACGTAGCCCTGACGAACACCAGTTCTTATTTCGAAGGAGTCTATCAGTTCTCCATATACACAGATCTGCGCCGACACCTGTCATAAAATGCCTTTATGAGTCGAATGACCATCTCTGGAACACCATCACATTCCATCACCCTCCAAAGCGCCGCTCTATCAATTGAATCAAAGGCAGCCTTAAAGTCGATGAAACACGTGACAGTGGGTTGCAAATATCTGAAGCGATGTTCCAACACCTTTCTTAATGTGAATACCTGGTCAGAACAACAGCGCCCTGGTCTGAAACCAGCTTGATTAGGGCGCACCCTGCTGTCCCTTACTTCCATAAGTCTGTTGAGTAACAGGGAAGCAAAAATTTTCGCTGAGACATCTGGTAGGCTGATAATTGTCACAGTATGTCCTATCACCTTTGAGAATTCGGAGCAAAATTGCTTTGCTCCAATCATCTGGTAATATTTTTTCCATACTAGAGAGCACATTTGTTGAAGGTGCGTTATGAAGGACGATGGACAACGTTTGAAAAATTCGGCCCATCTTCTCCAGAGAAGTTTTCTTGGCTTTAAGTTTATGGATAACGGAAATTATTTCTTCTATTGGAGGCTCGAAATTGCAAGCGTATGAATATGTAAACGTATCAACTATATCAGCGGCAATAGATGGCGCTTCATGGTTAAGTTTGGCCTTAAAGAATTCTTTTCATCTTATGATGCGGTCCTTAACTCCACGCCATTGCTTTTCCTTACCATTTCACTGATCGTTCCCCGAGTTATATTTGCTTTATGAAGAAGGCGCAATAGTTTCCTATTATCGGCTAATCGAGCCGCCGTCTCCATTTTCCATGCCATTCCAATAGTGATTTCTGTCCTGCTTCACTGTTTTTATTGCAAATCTTCCAAGCATCCAGTAATCAGGATCTTCTCAAACTCATGCTTTGGCAGCTTTTTCAGACAGTTGGACATTTCCGAGCCCCACTAGCGCAATTCCTACTAGAATACACTATCGAAGATATTTCTTTAGTTTGGACCAATATTCATTTGCTCTACCAGAAAAGTCATTGATTTTGTGAACATGTTGATTTTTGTACCACTGAGATATTTCAATAATTCGGTTTGAAATGCGCTCACTATCTCCGAATTTTTTAGTTTGAGATGGTTGAAGGATCTTGGGATGCTGTTTTCTGCGAGTTATCAATTTTATGCTGATCTTGGCTCGAACCATAACATGTTCACATCTATAAAGATTGTCCGTTTCAGCGCCGCGATAGGAACAACTATCTAGTACGGAATTCCTTCAACAGCGATTGACTGAGATATAATCAATTTGGTTGAAGTGTTGGTTATCCGGAGAGTTCCACGTGACTAGATGCCTTCTACGATGCCGGAAGCAAATATTAGTAACAAAAAGTTCATGCTCTTCTGCATAGCTAAAAGCGTTTCCCATTGACGGTTTCCAATGCCATATTTGCCAATTATCGAGGTAATTGCAGCAGTATTATGATTTACCGTATTCCAGTCCGCCCTATTATAACCATGTTATGTTTCGGTAAAGATTTTGTTAAGTTCCTGGCAGAACTTGTCTCTATCACGGTCATCTGCCGATAGAATTGGAGCGTATACACTGATGACCGAGATATTACAGAATTTAATTCTAAAACGGGCATGGGCCATACGGTCGCTTACCCGTTTCCACTCACTTAAAGCGGAATGAGCCTTATCAAACATAGCAATCGCTACGCTAATTCACCTTGAATTATCCGAAGCACCACAGTGATATAACCAGCATCTCTGCTCTGAATCAGAATTGCACGCGACCCGAGTGCGGAAAACGGATCACCAACAAGTAGGCGATATCCACACGATATTTAGAAAGAGTGATCGCTTGGCTTGCGACATCTATAAGCGTTTTGACGTTCCACGTCGATACAGCTAGCATCTCGCCGCGCTGTAGAGAACCATTCTCCTTAGTAGATTTCGAACAATTGTCCTGGCTTGCGAACATATTTTATTTGTAAACCTTGGGATTGTTTTATGCCTGGATTGTATACTTACCTACCGGACTGGGAGTATCATGTGCGTCGCGACGCAAATGCCGTATCAAGAATATTTGACCCTTTCACTTGAGAGTAGAGTTACAGATGGGTCCTCAGAGACCAAATTTTTGACATGTCAGGTTAACTCTTGTTAAAATATATATATATATAGACATTATTGAGATAAGAGAGACATTATTTTATATCGTTTATTTTATTATAAATTTTATACATATTTATTTATTTAAATTCTTAGTTTGTTTTTTTTTTTAATATAGGAAATAGAGTAAAGAAGAAAAAAAGAAAAAAGAAATAACAGAAAACTTGGCTCATAGTTCGAAGTTCATAGAAAATTCTAGAAAATATTCCGAAGAAATAGTTGCAGCAGAATAACGATACAACCGCTTAAGATCAAACCATATACCTCTCCCCATCACAATCAAGTCATCTTCGAATCAATCAATCGGCGTCCTAATAAATTCTCATTGGTGAGGAGTTCAGCATTTTCAAATTGGAGATCAAATCGCCTTACTTTTGCTATGAATTTTTGAATTTGAATTTGAAACTTCTGAATTTTGTTGATGAGCTAGCAGATGAGTAGGGTATACCAAAGGGTATAAAAAATACCCACAATCGAAAGCTAAGTCCGGAGATTTCATTGAGAACAGAACAATTAAGACAAAACAATTTTATTGAGATTTCGGTATAGGATAAGTGAAGTCAAGGCTTTAGATAAAACTTAATGAAATTTGTCTTAATTGTTGATTTTCGATATCTTTGCATTTTTGGGCAATTCACAAGCCAGTGCCTTACGCATTCTCGTTTTACTAAAAAGTTATACTTGTTTCAGGTGCTATCAAGTATTTTTGAGTCATCCTGGGCTGGTACCACGTATCGAATGCTGCGGCTACAGAGAAAAATATTTTCTCATTTAATAACTGTCTGATTTATGAATGCCACAAATTCATCGTGTCCACAGGTTCCTTCGTTTACTTCTTGCACGAAGATTACAGTCGCTTTTCGCTTTCTTAAATCCATTGAGAAATTCTTATTTTCGATATTCAATGAATCTTCAGTGGATAAGCAGAACAGCGAAACATTCTTGGCATAAATTTTTAAAATATGGGAAAACGACGATTTTTAAATCGCAGGACTGGAAGTATAACTGTGGGTTCACTTAATTCCGCAGCAAAGGATCTTCTCAATGGTTGAACGAAAAACCGGCCTCACCATCCAGATTGCAGATTTAAAAGATGTGAGGCAACCGAATTTTCCACGAATAAGAAATGGTTTAAGCACGTGGCACTCCGGATTTTCACCGCGAAACAAAGCGAGTGCCGATCATCGGAAGAAACCTTTGCAAGACTGAAGTGCCGCATTCCGATAGCAATTCCGCCCGCAGTGCAGTTCCTCACGTCTCGGCACAATTAAATTGCGTGTGGTGCTGCGGTTACACGTCGCTCTTTAACTTTTTTCAGCCAATCAAATCCGTTGAGCCAATTAACCGTCGGTAAAACTAATCAGAAACAATGAATGCTCAGCACTATTTATGCAATGGAAATTTCAAGTCATTTGACTCTCATATACGATAATCATTTGACTCTCCACATTTTCATGCTTTTTCTTACTGAATTTAAATGCCAATGCGATAACGATGCGCTGAAACTTATTTGAAAATTATCTTGAAAATTGTCTTGGAACGATTGCGAGATTTCGATACTTTTTTTTAGCGGTCGAAGTTCGATTTGTCCATTTCTCAGCATTTCATATTTTCCTATTCATTTTGTAATGGCTGAATTTTTGCTATTTTCGACTTGTAAATGTTGTTTGTTTTGTAAAATTTTTATTTATTCGATAGTGTTTATCACATTTATGAAACAATTTTCTTATTTTTCGAATCGATTTTTGTTGCTCTATTTTTCGATTCACTTTGTTTCCTTTTATTTTTAGCTATTTCAAGTATTTTCCACTTTTTCTATTCGAAATTTTAATTTAAAGTGAAAATCTCTATTTTAAAAGTTTTTTAGTTCGTTGAGCATTTTAAGAATGGAAGCGCAGACGGAATTGCTTCGGCAGTTTGTGAATTTGTGCAAATCAAATCCGTCGATTCTCCATGAGCCGCGTTTTGCTTTTTATAAAAATTATTTAGAAAGGTTAATTTTAACCGAAAATTTCTTTAAAAAATTTGGTGAAGCACTGCCGTTATTAATTTCTTTGCTATTAAAATCTAATTAACTTAATCGACCGAATATTTCTCTGCGGAACTCTTTCAGGGCTCCTCTGCCATTTTTATGTCCTTTTTCTGCTTTATTTTGCCTCGTTTTTGACTTGAAAATATTTCTGCTTTGTTTTATATTGTTGGAATATAATTATTTTGCGTTGTATAATTTTTACATTGTCTGAGTAATTAATGCTTTGATCTTTGAAAAATAGAACCTTCGTAACCACTTTTTATTTATTCAGTTATAAATTCAACTTTTTTTAGAAATACAAACTCATTAGGATTTGTTAAACCATTGGAACTTAATTTATCATTAAGTCTTTCATCATTAAACTGTAGATTATTCCCATCAATGAATGTTTCATTTTTTAAAGGTTTTTTGTTTTTTGATGTTAATAGTAATCTTTTCAGTCTTGGAGCAAAAATTCCTCCTGCACAAGATGCATCAGAAAATGAAAATAATATGGAAACGGATGAAAATGTACCTGATTTAGATATGTCTTGCGTTATTGAAGCTGATCATGATGATCCATTACCTATGGGAGATTCTGAAAAAGAGGTTATATCTTAAATGATATTTCTTAAAAGTAGGGTCGAGTTGATCATAATGAATGATTATAATGGGATCTTGCTCCCTTTATTTTTCTGGCTTTTTTATTTTTATTCTCATCAAACGAATGATCATTTATTTTTTTATTCATTTGCACTTTTATTTCATTGATTAATCCTTACCATTTATATAAAAATAAATAAATAAAAAATATTTGAAAAAGTAATTTAGATAACGGATGAAGATTTGGAAAAGGCAAATGAAGAGCGTGATCTTGCCATGATAGCTTTTAGCGATGGTTTGTATTTTTTCTGTTCATTTATTTTCTTTTGTCAACTATGATTTTGCCATTTTTTAATATTTGCGATGTATTTTGCATCAGTTTTGATGGTGATTTTTTCTTAAATAATTCAGCAGTTTAGATATTTTTTTTTTTTAAAATTGCAGGTGACTTTGCTAAGGCAACCAAACATTACACAAATGCCATCGAACTTAACCCTGGTTCAGCTTTGCTTCACGCTAAGCGAGCTAGGTTTATTATTAACTTTTATTTGATGGTTTTTGTATAAATGATGCAGATGTGTTTTTTTTAATCAAAATATTTATTTTTTTTATTCCGAAGTTATCCGTTTTTTATGCGTCAATTTTGAGCAATTCATAAGACTAAATAGAAAAAACCAAACAGTGTGTGAAAAATTTTTTTTCAAATTCCAGTATATTGTTGAATTTAAAAAAACCAAACGCAGCAATACGTGACTGCGATAAAGCATTGTCAATTAATCCTGATTCTGCACAAGCGTACAAATTTCGCGGAAGAGCTAAGCAGTGTGTTATTTTTGTGTTTTTTTCTTTGATGGATTAATTTTTTCGATAGCCTATATTTTTTTGGAAATTTTAATTTTTACTCGTTAATGTTTAAATGAAGCAACTTGTTTAAATTTAAAAAAACTTCAGGCTTCTTGGCAAGTTTCTCGAGAGTTATCAAGATTTAGCCACTGCATGTAAATTGGATTATGATGATATGGCCAACGAATGGCTTAAAGAGGTCGAAGCTAATGTTAGTGTTTTTTGAATTAAAATTAAATTTCAGTTTCAATTCAAAATTAAAAATAAATTTTCTGGATTTTATTAAATTGGATTTAGTGAATTTGAAAAAATGAATTTTGCATTAAAGGTGTTTTTATGAAATATTTCATTTGTTAGAAGAATTTATTTATTATGTAAGATTGGTTACAAGATAACGCGCTTTTTTAAAAATCAATAAGTTGAAATAGATGAACTAACGTTTTTTTCATTTTTATTTTCTTCATCATCTTTAGGTTTTTTTCTACAAAGTTTTCGGCCATTAGGTCCAATGGGTGCTTTTTCTTTGATCGGTAATCCTACCTTAAGGCGACAAGATATATAATAAATATTGCATGGTGCTCCATTAGGTCTTCGTAGATTCTTTATCATTATTTCTTCCTTCTTCATTTCCAGTTGTACTGAAACGTCATTGTAACATTGATGCCTATATTTGCATTTCAGTTTTTCTGCAATTGTTATATGCTTTTTGTCTTCATCAGTAATGTTAATTTGTTGTTGGATTTGCATATATTCAAGTTCCTTGTCAACATCGAAAGGCTTTTTGGTTTTCTTCTTTTTTTCGACTTCGCTTTTTATTTTATTATTTTTGTCGCTTGTTTTTTTTTTCTCAGTCGTTCGTCTTTGAAGGCTGGTTTTGCCAAATTTATTCGCAATTTTTTTCGATTCACGAGTATTAATTTCAAGTCTTTTTTTGCCACCTCGAATATCATATATTGCATAGCAAGATTTCCGGTATTTGCATATTTGTTCCTTTGTTGATATTGGTTCTTTCATTGTTTCAGCTATTGTTTTCATTGTTTCTTTTGTTATTTGTGGTAAAATTCCTGTCTGGTAACAGGATTTTCTATATTTACATTTTAGTTTTCTTTGTTCTTCATCCATTTCTTGTTCAATTTCTTCTTCTTCCTTAGCAATTTCGTCGAAGATTTTTCGGACAATTGATTCCAGGAAGAATTTTTGTTCAATTTTCGGCATTTCGCCAGTTTCATAACATGATTTTCGATATTTGCAACGCTTTTTTTTTGATTCATTTTTTATTGTCTGAGGTTCGACTTTGTGAAAGGGTATAATTTTTGGAAGAATTCCGTTCTCATAGCATGATTTCCTATATTTACACTTTAATTCGATCGGTAAATGTTCTTCTTCTTTTTTACTGAAATGATATATTGTTAAGTCTTTTGGTTCTGGCGGCACGCCTGATTGATAGCATGATTTGCGGTATTTACATCTTAACTTTTCGATTAAATTGAATTTATCGGATAATTCTTCATCAGTCATATTTATTTTTGCGGTTTCTTCTTTTTTATTTAAATTGTTTTTGTTTTCAGATTCCCGAATTTCGCTTGAATTTTCTTTGGTTTTTAGTTCTTTTTTCTTCAGATACTTTTGATTTACCTTTATACTTTCATTTTCGTAAGCCATTTCTTGCGAAGATTTCGCTGATATGTTATCTTTACCTTTAATCTTCTTTCTTATTTTTTCTTTTTTTTTATTTTGCTGTAATATATCACCAAATTTTTTCTCCCGCAGAATATCGAGTTTCTTTTGCTTCGTCGATTTTATTATTTCGCTCTCTCTAGTGTTAGTTGTCTTGTGTTCTTTTGTTGCTTTTTGTATTTTAGTATTTTGTATTTTAGCTTTCTTTTTTATCTCTTTGGTGTCGTTAATATTCTGTTTTTGTGATTCGGTTTGATCTTTTTCGATTTTTTGATCAGTGGCCACTAATTTTTCGTCATTTCGTAATAATTCTTGATTTAATGGAATTTCTTTGTCGCATTTCGATTCGCATTTGTCGTTCCTTTCTATATCTTCAAGAGCTTTTTGGTTATAACAACTTTTTCGGTATTTACAAAAGAGTTTCAAGTGTTCTGCTGTCAAGGGGATCTCTTTGGTTTCCTCTTTGTTTTCTAATTGAATGTCGTAAATATTTTCTGTTAAATTAAAAACACCAGTATTATAGCATGATTTTCTATATTTACACTTAATTTGTATAGGTATTTCCTTTTCATTTTTTTGAATAAAATGCTCATATTTAAATATTCGTTCCTGAGGTATTATTATTTGTTGGCCATTTTCGTAACACGATTTGCGATATTTGCAAAAGAGTTTTTTTTGTTCGAGATTTAATTCATCGAATGATATATTGGATATTGGATCACCTAGGTGAATGTGTTTCGTTAAAAATTTTGGTAGAAATGAATGACTAGGAAAATTAAGAATAAGTTGTCCAGTTTTATAACAGGATTTTCTATATTTACAAACAAGGCGTTCCTTCATTTCTTCTTCCTTGTCATCGAGTTTCTTATCAACGATAATTTTTATCGCTTTTGGTTTTCGAGCAGCCTTTTCTTCTTTCATTTTTAATTCTCGTATCGTATTTTTAGCGACTTCTTTTAATGTCTTTTTTCTAGAACTTATTGCTGTTTGTTGTCGTTTTGAAAGTAAATGTAGCCTTTCATTCGTTTTATTCTCTCGTAAATTACCAATTTCATCGTAGCAAGTCTTGCGATATTTGCACAAAAGCTTAATTTCATTCATATTAATCGGCCCATTCCATAACGCTTCTTTTTCTTCTTCTTCTTCAACTTCTAATGAAGATTTCATTATCATTTCTTTATTATTTTCATTTCCTTTCAATTTTAATGATGGTAGTAATGGAATATTTCCTGTTTGGTAGCAGGATTTTCTAAATTTACATAATAATTTCCTTTTTTGTAGTGGAATATCTGTTAACTTAGGTAGATTTTTCCTTCTTGCGAGAATTTTTTCGCGTTTTCGACGTAGACGAAGTTCTTCAATTTTTCGATATCGAATTCTAGTTGTTTTATGGCATTGATGTTGGTGGCTGTGAATATGATGAACATGATGGGGAAAACGATGATCACTGCTCGTTAACGTATGTTCCATGTTCCTTCTCACTGTTTTATGTTTACCTCGTCCAATTTCTGCAGCAGACGCAAATATTTGTGATATTCCCCCTTTTTTCGGTGTGTTTTTCTTGTCTAATCTGTATTCAACTTCGAAAGGTATCCTAGCGAAATTATTACAAAGATAAATTGTGTTAATTTTATCGATTCTTAGATAATAACTGCTCAGCTTACACTTGGTTTTGTTATTTTGTACGATTCTCTCGAGTGGTAAAGGAAACTCATCTAAAAAAAAGCGTTCATTACAAATTAAAATCTGTCGTTAAGCGGATAAATTTATCTTACTCTTTATTAAAAGGATAATTTTTGCCTATTATTTTCGAAAGCAAAATTATGAATATAAATGTCGAGATCGCATTATTCATTTCTTTAAGATATTTTCTCAAATCATTTTTTTTTATAATTTAATTATTTAGATAGTTTTCAGCAAAGAAGTTATTAGCTTAAACAATTTGGACAAAAAATTGCTTTGGAAATTTTAAATAAAATATGAAAAGCTGACGATTCATGGGCAGCAAAATAATAATAGCAAGTAATTGATGATAATAATAGTAATAATGATAAAATAATAATAACAGTTTATCACTGAATGAACGTTATTTGCTAACAACATTATTTTAATGCTATAATATCTTTTGGTATAATATAAATAATAAGTTAAAGTGGAAAAATTACCAATATTGAAAATAGCGATTTGTTCTTGATGTTTAATTGTCGAAAGAAATTGATATAAATTTGATATTTCGATTGGGTTCATTTCGTAAAATCCTTTATTTATTATTAGGATTTTGTCATTAATATCGATATTATCAATGTTGATCCATTCTTTGTTTTCTTTATTTTTTTTAATGTTTTCCTTGAGTTTTTTATATTCCTTCCATTCATTTGAGCTTTTCGTTGGTATTTGCAGATTAATATTTGACGAATCGTTTTCTGCAAATTTACAAATTTGTTTTTAAACAATTAGAAATTTATGGGAATAGAATTTTCTATTATAAATTATACTATTATTCTATTATAAAAATAAAAATAAAACATAAAATAATAAAAATAAATAAAAATCTACTAAGAGGTCGTAAAAACCAGGATCAGCAATAGGATTTAATCAATTTTTAGCGTTGTTTTATCAGTTATTGAGGAACAGCCATTCTTTCACCAGCAGTGTCGCTTAATGTGGTGGGCTGGTAGCTCAGTGGAAAAAAAAGAAAGAACAATGGATTTGATTCATATGATAACCAACCGACGACCATTAACGAAAAGATAAAAGAAAAGTAAAACTGGACAAGCCGATGCCGATTTATTAAGCAATAAGAAGATAAAGTCGCTGATGGATCGAGGAGAGAAATTAAAGCCTCTCGGGCCGACCTCGTGGTAGCTTTTGCTATATCGCCTTTTGGGATAGAATGGTTTAGTGGGTTTTTGTTCAATTGGAAGCGCCGATGCTGAGGTTCGATTCCCCGCAGAAGTAAACCTATATAAAAATCCGGGATGATGTTGGCGATTCAACTGCATTTCTATCCAAAGGGACTCCGTGGCATATTGCCCAGTGCAACAAGCCAGTGGAGCGAGTTTAACCAGTAATGGTGAGGACTCTTAAAAAAAAATCGCCCTTTAGCGACGATAAATTTTTATATTAGAGAATTTTTAATTTTTCAAAATTCTTTTTTTCATAAATTCAAATTTATTAATTTTATTCGTAAAATTATTTTATGGTATCAAAAGTAACCTACTCGTACAGTGATGATCAGTGATTTCATCGTTGATGAATTGCTTAGCAAGCAAAATTTTGTGATGATTATTCGTTGAGTGTCCAGTAAAAATTAAAATTTTCGATTCTAAAATATTTTTTTTTAAATTTTCTCGCCGATCAGTTTTTTCAGTGAATTAGCTTTCAATGAATGTAAAGTTAATTTCTCAATGAATAACCTTTATTTAAAAATTTATCATCTTTAGTTTTAGATTTTAGTTGGAACTAAGCCGGTATTTTATTGAAAAATTCATTTTGTATCGAATTTAATGAAAAAGTTAAAAATTACCAATGTGAATGGTGAAAAGCAGTGAAAAACAGAATAAACTTAAAGACATTTATAATATTTTTAATATTTTCGCTCTATTTCGTTATAATCGAGAATAAGAGAATAAGCATAAGCAACTGGCTCACGAGCATTCAGTGATTTGATTTCGCTTAAACTAAAGCTGATCTGCTGTTCTATTGATCATTCTTCCATTCAGTGCTCTTTTTCTCTCTTTAAGCGTAGATTTAATTCATTTTTCATAAAATTTTTCATATGATTGCTTTAAAAATATAAAAATCAATTGTTGCAATGATTTTCATCGGTCTTTTTTGTTGACTTTGTTGGTAGTACATTTTCTACGCGAGTTTATTCCGCATAGAAGATTTTTTAAGAGTAATTAAATTTATTGATTAAAATATGAAAAGATTATCTTTTTGGCATATTTTTTTCGTTAGGCGAAAAAGATATTGGAACATAAACGAGCAAAAGATCGAGAATATGAAGACAAAGAATCGAAACGAAAAAAGGAATTTGCAGAAAGTAGGCAAAAACGACAGCGAGAAGCAGCTGAAGCTGAAATTTCCTCGGTTTCTTTTCTTTTTCTGGAATTATAGATGTGATGAGTGATTGTGTGCGACCAGATGATAGCCTTAATATGAAATCGTATTAAGGATATGGGAGCGCATGGATCACCTAAAGGTATGGAAGAAATCTTCTCAGACCCTGAAATACTCACTTTATTAAAAGACAAGGAGGTGTTGAAGGCTTATTCGGATATACTGGAACATCCGGAAAACCTAGCAAAACATATGACGAATGAAAACGTGAGAAAATTACTGGATAAGATGAGAAAATTTAAAGGTTTTCCTCAGCCAGAAGATGCCTCAAAGATATTTAAACATGGTCAAGCGGTTAGCTCTTTGTTCATTTTTGTTTGTAGATTTTTGCCATTTTTTATGATATGATAAATCAATTATTTTCAAAAATAATGCAATATTTCCATCAAATTTTTCATTTTAATTCATTTTTAATGAGTTTTTTTTAAGGAAGAGGCAAAGACAGCAGATAGTGCATTTGCAAAACCGCCTCCTAAAATGCCTGAACCAGATCTTGATTGACTGAAGTCAATATTTGTTTACTTTTTTTTAGAGATAGAAGTCACAATTTTCTTTGCATATTTTACACTGATGTGATTTATCAAATTATTTTATTAAACTTTTTGAACATCGAACGGTTCTACCGCATCTGATTTAATTTTTTTTCTTTTTAACATGATCCTTGGATTTATTATTAATTACAAATGCACAACAGTAATGAAAAAAATAAATCAACATTTTCAATTATTTAAATTCATTTTTGATGATTCTTAATTCGCAAAAATTCTTAACTGCGTGACTTTCGCGTCCTCGACCTTTTGTCTTTGCCTATTGACCGTCGAGATCTCGATCTTTTTCTGCTGACTGATTTTCGTGCCTTCGACCTTTTATCTTCCTAAATAAACTGACTAAAATTTAAATGGTCATTATTTTCTAAGACTTGATTCCAAACCTGATGACTATATGGATGTAAACTTGGTCTACACCAAAATTCTCAGTCGGAAAAAGTTATACAAATGTATATTTCAGATTTTATTTATAGCTATATTTTACTATATTTAAATTAAAAGGTATAAGTATTATACTTTTCCATCATTTTTTATTTTTTCCTTTCTATGTCGCTTTTTTCGCTCTTCATTTTTCATAAAAGGCATACGCGAACAAAAATCTGCAATATTCGTATCCAATTATACATACATTAAGTGATGATAATAAGTGATAATTTGCTAACCAAAAAGTGGAAAGTTGGACGATAAATATTTAGCTCACGACTGACGAATGGTTGTGTTATTCTATTATTGTTATGTGAAAATTCATTAAAGGATGTCAGCGAACAAAAATTTAAACTTGAACTACATCAAAATTATGAGTAGTTGGGAAAAGTCATACAAATATATATTTCCAATTTCATTAACCTAGCGGTGGAGGAACTGGTCCGAATTCCTCATCAGATATATCAATATCCATTACGTTAATCATTTTTTGCATAGCCATCTCCGGTTTTGGATTTTTTTCTAAAAACGTATTTTCTGCCTCTTTCGATGGTGGTGGAATGTCGAATATATCTTCAGAATCACTCTCTGAAGAATCATCTGTACCAAATACAGCTCGAAGGAAATCATCCGAAGGCCTTTCAGCTTTGGGTTGGCATTCAGCGTGATTCCTATCAGTAGTTTCATCCTGGAAAATTCATATAAATTTTAAATAAATAATCATTCCGCTCTGTTTTAATTATTTAGGTTCAAGGTTTTCTGCATTTTATCGTGTTGTTTAATCTGAACATAATTTTCTTTGTTTCTCTTGGACTTTTATACCTCAACTTTATTTCGTGCCAAACTCTTCCCAGGTTCATCAATAGTAAAGTTGATTTTGACTTGGTTTGCTTTATATTCCAATTCTTGTGAAGTGCTTCCTAGATTTAACAATGTTTCAGCTTTCTCAGATTTCTGAAAATATTTTACTATCAATTTTAATGCAAAAATTTCGAGTCTAAATTTTTTGCAAAACTTGGTCAAAAAATATTAGTAACCTGAAGATCAGGTGCACCCACAATGATTGATGATGGATAAGGATCGGGGATATTGAATTTCTTTGACAGATTTTTTGCAGGATACCAATCATAAACGCGACGAGTCAATTCACCGAACATTTTTGACCTTACAGCGATAATCTGGTCCTGATTCTTTGATTCGTGCAACTAAATTTTAGAAAAAATATCGGCAGAAATCCCACTCAAAATCCAACTAGAAATTCCACTATTAACTTAAAAAACTTACTCTTTTAGATTCTGCCCCTGAGGAAGTAACAAATTTTGCTTTCAGCACTTGCGCTATAGGAGCAGCAAGTTTAGAACTCGCCAAAGGCAGTTGACGCGATTTCACCTCAGGCAATAAACTGCGCAAATGAGGAGGAAGAACGTGATAAAAATCCGCTAATTCACGCTCCCATTCCAAAGAAGTCATTTCTGGAGGTTGTGGAAAATTAAGTCCTAAAAAAAATCATAACGTAGACTGTAGAAAGAAGATGATAATCAGAAAATAAAATTTAAGAAAATAAGAAGAACCTCGTTTTAAATAATTTAGAAAGAGTTTAAATCGAGCTTGCTTCATTGGTTCATCCTCAAAAACATCTCTGATTTGTTGTTCCGCTTTGTTTGAAAGACTGAGACGTTTTCGATCTTCATCATGAACAAGTTCTAACATCAAATTCTTGTCAACCTTAAATATATTATGGGTGAGACAATATTTATCAATATTTAAAGTCAATATTTTCCAAATTTAATTCAAGAAAAGCAAAAAGAGTCACTGTAGCTAGCAAACGACTGCAAACACTTACTTCACCGAGAAAACGTGCTCTTTGGGCATGAGTCATTGTTTCTCCGATTTTCTGTAGTGTATTAGGCATACTTGATATATCAGGTAAAATAGGATTGTGGATAGGTCGAAAAGTTGGTGGAATCCGAGGCGGTGCAAAAAAAATACGCGCTTTTTGTCGTCTATTATCCATTACAAATGATGTGTCATCTTCAAATTCATACAAATAAACGAAGAAATCAAGAAATCAAGAAAAGAAAGTGAAAATATATCTACAATTAGCCATCAATATCTAAATACATCTGACCACCATTTTTCAAAAATGCAGATGGCAAATTAAAAACGATTTATGAATAAACGAATTTATAAATGGCAATATTGACAGTTTAAACCATATACTCAAAAACTTACGCGAATCATTTCTAGATGTTGTTGGTTGATTTTCGTTATCAAGAGAAAAATCATATTTTGACCAATCAAATTCAGTATAAATATTAGTATCATCTTCATCTTCTTCGAAAACTCCAACGCCAAAAGCCTAAAAATTTTGCGAAAACATAGACAATTCGTATAAATAACAATTATTTGTGAAAAATAAAAAAACAAACCTGACCACGTATACCTTTGCTTTTCGCTTTTAATTTTAGTGCTGATTCCAATCGCCTATCTTGACAAAGAATTGAACTGAATTTCAGCCCTTCATAGCCAAGGCCATGAACACCGTTTCTGGACTTCAAATAATGCAAAAGAACATCCTCTGAAGGTCGATTTTGATTTTCCAACAGCGAATCATCTGCAAAATTACCCCATTTTAAAATCTTACCCAATTTATTAATTTAAAAAATTACAGCTATAAAATTAAATTTTTTGGTGGATGGTGCTGAATATAATACCTTTAATACCTTTTTTACTTTCTCCCCGCGAAAGTTTTAGTCCAATTTCTTGTCCCTCTCGCCAGCCCATTTTTTTTAACAAGCGAATACCCATTGAATCTCTGAAAATTTTTATTAAAAACTTAAAAAATAAACCAATATTTTTATGGGATTTTTAAGGCCTTTTATTGAAAACAAGTTCAGTAAAGTGATTAGTTTATCAAGATTGATAAGCTTATATTTCACAGCTATCTATTTCAAAATAAACATAAAGTTTTCAATATAAAGTTTTAAAACACTGTGAATAAAACAAAAAATCTAACATTTCCGTACTTTTATGGAACAAAAACTTAACTGGAACATTTCTAGCACATATTTAAATTTATCTCAATACTAACTTGAGAAGAATATAAATATTTAGAAAGAATGAATTTTCATTAAAATCCAATTTTATGGCACCTGATGGGATGAATAATAGCTTCAATTCGCGATTTTATCGCGTTTTCCAATGATGACCCTTGATGCTCCCAAGCCAAACGATGCTTCTCTTTAACCCCTCCAGCACCAGCTGTGGTACGCAACTTTCTCGAAGCAATACCAAATTCTCCCAAATCCTTAATAAATTTTTTTTAGCCCTGAATAATAAGTCTATTACTTTAGTAATCTGAACTAAATTACGAAAAATGTTCTACAAAATTTGTTGTTGATATGAATAAGATAATAGTGAACAAGATAAAAACTTCTTCATCCATAAAATCTTCTGGTCGTAATTCCATTTTTTTCCAACGTTCTTCTCGAGTAGATCGAAACTGGCTTGGCTCCCATCCTTAAATGTAGATGATAAAAATAGTAATTCAAATGTTCAAATAAAAAACAGTTGAGAATAATAACTGACCTTGTTTAGAACCGACTGTGTTAAAATAACCAGCTGAAAATCCTCCAGTAAAAGCACCATGAAATCGTCGCCTACCTTGTTCATCTCGCACAGTCTGTTCAGCTATAGAAAGTGGCCGGCGACAAGATATAGTTTCTAAATGCAGAAATATTTTTTCGATATTAATTCTATATGGCAAATGAAAATGAAAAATAAGCTGAATTTATGAATTCTCCCAAATCTTAATAAACTTTTTTTGCCTGATGAAATAAACGATGATAAATAAATAAATAAATAAACAAATAATGGGGATAAATTTTAAAAAGTTTATAAGAATTAACCGTTATCATCATCGTTATCGAATTCAGTACCAAATATGATGAATTCCTTCATTGAAAATCTGAATTTTTTTCAAATGCTGTTATTTTTGCTTTCGTTATTTATGCTAAAAATAAATTTTATAAAATATATAAGATTTTAATAACAACGAAATATGCTAATAAAAATAAAAAAATAAATAAATGTTTTGCAACAAAAAAAACGCACTATGATCATCGGAATGAAAAAAAAGGAAAAACACCTTCTAAAAGAAAACTAAATCATAAGGCGAATAAAAATATGCAAAAGCGACGCTAGTAACTCAGCATAGACTTCAGCAAACCAACTTGAAATTAGCAATTTTCTTGTTGGATCAGTGAGGCTATATCAATATATTTAAGTTAAATGTCAAAATTCATAAGATATAAACAAGAGTAAACTTATCATATCAAAAATACGGGTGGCTGCTGGCGATCCACCTGTAATTCATCCCCAAGTCCGCGTCTTCCGCGCATGATATTCCCAGCCCGATGGAATATACAATCCGGGCATAAAACGATCCCAAGTTTCATAAATAAAATATGTTCGCAAGCCAGGACCATTGTTCGAAACCTATCAAGGAGTTCCCTGCACGCACGGAAATGCCCTTATCAACGTGGAACGTCGCTTATAGATGTCGCAAGCCAAGCGATCACTCTTTCTAAATATCGTGTGGATATCGCCTGCTTATTGGAGATCCGTCTTCCGCACTCGGGTCTCGTGCAATTATCAAACCTGGCTTTGAGCAGAGTCACTGGCTATTGAAGTGTTTCGAATAACTCAGCGCGAAATGGAGCGACATGGCCTTGAGAATGGAGATGGCAGCTCGATTAGGCAATAATAGAAAACTATTCAGCCTTCTTCATAAAGCAACTATAACTCAGGGAACGAACAGTGAAATGGTAAGGGATAGCAATGGTGTATCTATTTATAATATATAGCAATGGTGTATCTATTTATAATATTAAGAATAAGAAATTCTTTGAGGCTAAACCATGATGCGCCATTCTCGACAGAGCTAATATGTTTGCAATTGCGAACCGCCATCAAAAGATATAATCTGTTATCCATAAGCTTAAGGCCAATAAAATTACGAGAGTCTTCAGGCTGAACTCTTCAAATGTTGTCCATGGTCCCTCATAACGCATTTTCAACAAATGTGCTTTCTGGTACGAAGGAAAGAAATTAACAGATAACTGCAGCAAAGCAATTCTGCTTCTAATTCCCAAAAGAGATTATAGGACATACTGTAACAATTATCGAAGCCTGAGAAAATTTTGCAAAAATTTTTGCTTCCTTTTACTCAACAGATTCAAGATTCAACATGTCAGGATGCGTTCTAATCAAATTGGATTATGTCTATGTCATAAATTTTAACCCATCGTTACTTGTTTAACCGATTTTGCAGCTGCCTTCGATTCAATTGATAAAACGGACCTTTGGAGAGTGATGGAATGTGGCGGTGTTCTAAAGAAGATCATTCGACTCATAAAGGCATTTTATCAGCGTACATTGATTAAAGTCTATATATATGGGGAACAGAATCCTTCGGAACAAGAACTGGTGTTCGTCAAGATTGTGTTCCTTCCCTTACAATACTTCAATTATGCGATAGACTCGGTAATGGACATCGCTTTTCGACATTCAAGATGTGTACAAAAAAGTCCAGATCGTATCACAGATCTTCAATACTCTTATGTTGTAGTCCTTTTTGCTGACAATTATGATGAAATGCAAACGATGTTAAATAACGTGTCAGCAACTGCAACGAAAATCGGATTCAGGACCAATATAAATAAACGAAAGTGTTGTCATACTATCCAAGCTGACAAAATATTTTTACAAATTCATTGCCGGTTGAGGAAATGACCGACTTCAAATATATTAGATTCATTCTAGTCCAAATGACCAGGCAAAGAATGAAATTGCAACCCGGACAACAGTTAAAAATATATTTTTCCGGTTGATGAAGCCTTTATAAAACGGAAACCACCATAAAGAAGAAAATCCGCATCCAAATCGCTCGATTTTACTATATGGCTAAGAAACATAGCCAATGAAAGTTGAGGATATTAACTGTTTTTGGCCACTCTTGTCTAAGATACATTTTAGGGGTTCGCAGAGCAGATAAAATCTCATATAATTGTATCTACTTTTTACCATTTGCATTGATAATATCATCATATAGCGTTTTATTCCCTGGTTAAGACACATTCTTCGTCGACCACAACAAAAGTTGATAAATATTTCTACAATAGGTGGCGTCAAAAGCGAGGTGGGCCAATCAAGATCTGGAATGATACGGACACAGTCAGAAAAGAATATAGGTGGACCAGCAACATACGGACTTAAACGATGGAAAAAGAAATGGCTTCTGCTAGTGCCAACGATCGGATAAGACTGTGCTGCTTGGGAAACATCTTACCCTAGTAGCCAGTAGAGCCAGCCTAACCAGTAATGGTGAGGGCTGAGAAGAAAAAGATAAGATATAAACAAAGATCAAATGATTTTCATTTTAGAAAAAAAACAGTATATTAAAACTTTTATTTATTCTTTTCCGTAACAAAAAAAAAGATGATTCTATTAAAATTTTTCGAATTTTAGGATCAGTGTTCTCAAAAATATAACTTCATATCATCTGATTTTGGAACAATAAATGAAAAAATTTTACAAGAATATAAAAATAACTTGGGAAAAAATGAAATTTTTAAAATATTTTAAAATTTTTAAAATATCAAAAGCTTTAACAAATATTTTATTAAAAATTATCGCCGTTTCTTCCTTGAATGCTGCGCACCTCGTACGAAACACCAATTCACATTAACTGTTTGACCAAGAAAATCGGTACCATTCATTCCTTCTATTGCAGCTGCAGCTTCTTTCTGCGAATCATATTCAATTAAAGCGTAGCCCTAAAATTATTATCGGCAAAACTATCGTATAAATGATCATAAAAAAGAAATGTCCGAAGTAAAAGTCCCTAATTAGGAATTTATTGCTGCAAAAAAAACTATAAAAAGATACTTATAATAAAAGATACAAAAAAAGTAAAATGCGTTTAATATATGCGAATTTATATTGTGCGATTAATTCATAATTTTAACCTTCAAGAATCCAGTACGTCGGTCAATATTTAAGTTAAGATTTTTGATTTCACCAAAATCGGCAAAACGATCGTGAATATCATCTTCATGTGCCTCTTCATTTATATTAGTGACGAAAATAATCCATCCTTCCACAGATCTATGAAATAACAAATTAAAAATAAAATAGAAAATAATAAAAATTTGTAAAAAAGAAACTTGAACCAACTAAAACAATAAGACAAAAAATATCCGAAAAGAAATAGAAATAAAAATCCATATGAGACACAGAAAGAATTTACCTTTGAGGTCCATCAGCACTTCCTGTTCCTTCTAAAGCATCATATTCCGTAATGCCAGCATGCGTTTCAGCACCGAATCCACGGCCCTTCTTCTTCGTCGCTCGATTTTTCATATCGTCAACTATAACGAATGAAATCGCTGTAATCTTGAAAAGCAAACTCGTCAAATTTCAAAAAAAAAACAAAGTCCAGCCGGATTTGTGGATAAACAAACAATATTAAAATAAAAATGGATCAAGCGATGAAGCTCCAATATTTCTTAAAATAAAAACTATCAAGATATTAAAAAATTATCGATTATATCTATTAAAGAAAATGCAAAAAACAAAAAATATGGACAAAATAATTTCCATCAATGAAAATGAATGGAAACTTGTTGGCAAAAGGCTCATGTATCGACGAGAAATCCAAAGAATCTTAATAACATAATATAAATATATATATATAAATATAATTTCCGATATTTTAATAAATTTTTTGCACTGAATAAATCAGAATTCGTAAATCAAAACAGTAATTCGTATAACTGTATATTCCCTAAAGAGAATATTCATCTAAAGCAGTTCATAAAGGAATTGAATTAAAAGGAAAATGAATGTTAAACCAAGAATATAATTTAAAGAATTTGAAGAAAATATCCTTGTTATTATAGATTTATTATTATAGGTCTGAGATAATTTTACTTATTTAAAAAAGTACTTGAAAATTACTGAAACATTTTTAAAAAATTTTAGTTTACTTCGCTTACCAGTTTGTTCCATGTCCATATCATCAACTTCAATGCTATCACCATCAGCACTCGCCATCGTCTAAAATTTTGCAAAAACTTTGAATTACCTTTCCAAAAATAATAAATTCTCATTCATACGATATGCAAAACGAAAACGTCGGTAACTCGTTGCAATTTTACTGAATATTTACCATCAAAGAATAAAACTATTCACTCAATAGCATTCTGCATTTCTGATTTGACTGGTCTATTTGACTAAAGAGATAACTAGAATAAAAATGTGGATAAATTTAGTCCAATGGGTATATCTCAGCACCCGATTCGATTCTACCTAATAAATTTTTATTTTTTTTAAAACTGGTTTGATAAATAAATTATTTTTGAAAACAACCATCAAATGAATTATATCAAATGAAATTTAATTAAAATTTATTTTTATAGGTTTTATAAATTACAAGTTTATAAATTTATAAGTTAACAAAACCAATATGTAAAACCAATATAAAACCCCATAATTTAATTTAGGACATCAACAATATAACATTATCAATTCGTAGAATTTTTAATCCATCAATTAATAAAAAGTTCACGAGATTTATGGAAAAAACAATCATCAAAATCAACTTCGCATTACCTCAGTTAATATGCCAAATATGAAGATTAAAAAACTAACGGAAATGTCACCTATATTTCCAAAATGCGGAAAGATTATAATCTTAAATGAAAAGACCGACTGATAAAAAAATAGAACAAAAGACTAAAAAAATATCAGCAAAAAGTAAAAATGCAGAAGATGTAGTTGACAAAGCATTTCTTAACATTATAAAACATTATCAGTTGAACAAAACTGATAAAGTTAATGAAGCACAATAAAATAACAAAAATATTAAAAACCTTGAGGATTACAATCACAGGCTGCCATAAGGATTAGCATTAACCAATCGTCGCATTCTACGAGTATTTCGATCTTGATCACGCATTTTTTTCTCAATTTCAGCATCTGTCAGAGTCTCTAGAAAAGGACCCCATGCATCCACATCTGCGGGATTTCTAAACGGGCAATCAACTGTTGCTAAAGGGGATTCACTGGAAATAAATATTACAGTAACTTAATTTATATCAGGAAAGAATTAATAATAAGTATACAAAAATTAAGAAATTTTTTAAAATCTATTGAAACTGACATACTTTAAGGCAAATTTCGCCATACCTGTATGCATAAGTTCTCTGATTCCAAGATAACTGCCCTCTTATTGAATATGCGATTGCTGGAACGAATTCGCCACCAAGACCTAATTCGGCTGCGAGTTTTTGAGCAAACAATTCTGGACTATTATTTTCTTCACTCATATCCCATTCAAACTGATCCACTAATGACTGATTGCCCACATGAACATTAAGTTTTAAAAGAGCACGTTGATCCGTAAGTGTCGCGTCGACCGGAGCCACTTCACCAGCTGCCTAAATTAGACGTATTTATTCGTCATTGTCATAGATTTTCAATAAGTTTTAATGTAATTTCGCTTGATAAAAATGATGAAAATGAGAAAGCCAACATTACCTCAATTTGCTGATGAATCGCTTGCGCTATAGCAGTAATAAAGGGAGTTTGAGGTAAATCGAGATCATCACACATAATTTCAGCTAATATCTCCGGCGTTATTAATTTTTCATTCCTGTTGTAGCAGAAAGTATCACGAAGTTTGATACCTTCTAACTCCATATCGAGCCTAAAAATAAAATTATTTTGAAAAATTTTGATGCACATCCGTATGCAAACATATTTCGTACAAGAAAGCTGAAAAGTTTAAAGTAAATATGATAAAAAATGACAAAATAGATACTGCAAGAATAAGTGAAAAAAAAGCACCTTATAGGAATAAGGTCCTCAGATTGTTCGGCATTTTCCAAAACATATTTGTACATTTCCTGTTCATCTGGTGACCATACAAGTTCTCGAGCTTTGAAATGACCACGAGCATGTGCAATTGGAGTCGAACAGGGGACGGATTCCAAATGATGCGAACCACTACTTACCTCAAAAACAAACGCAGTATGAAAATTTTGATAATACGAAATTTTGATAATAATTTACGCAATTAAAAATATTTTTAAAGCTAATGGTAAACCGGATAATAAAAATTACCTGTTGTCCTAGCCAAGGTCCCGTGCCCGACCTCGCATTTTTTAACAAATTTCCGCCAAGAACTGGTAAACTGCCTGACATATTCAAGCCACTAAGTCCACTACCAGTTGCACGATATTTCTCCTCATTTCCATTGAGAATTTCATCGACCTTAACTATTTTTCAAAATTCCAATAATCTAAACGTAAAAACCGTTCGATACGAAATTTAAAAGAACTAAAATCTAAACTACGTTATAGAACTGGTGAGATTTTGCAAAAAATAAAAAAATCTACAGATAAGAAACCATTCCTTTTCCACAGTTTACACCCACATATCACTAATCCGCCTATATATTCAAAATCTTTTCTGACTGTATCAATCCGCTCAATTGGCCCTTCTCGCTTTTGACGCAATCCACCTGTCACTTTTCTTGGGAATTGGGAGTAGAACAGCTTTTCTCATATCATCTGGTATCTCATTCACCAGAAAGTATATTTATTGAAGGTGCAATATGAAGAATAATGGACATTTTAAGAAATTCGGCCCGAAAACCACCTTCTCCACGCATTTTACTGGCTTTAAGTTTCTGGATGAGATATTGTCCTGTTGTGCTGGCCGTTCGAAGTTGTAAGTATATGGCTTGCCGAGCGATTCAGCTACGTCCGTGACAACATATGGCGTATAGTGGTTAAGCTTTGTCTCAAAGAATTCATCTTTCCATCTTATGATGCCATTCTTATCAGCCTTAACATTATTGTCCGTATCATTTCACTACCAGTAAAACGTTCTCTGAGTTATAGTTACTTTATAAAGAAGGCGAATAGTTTACTTTAATCCAGCCACCGTCTTCATTTGTAAGGCCAAATCGCTCCAGTAGTGATTTCTGTCCCACTGTACTGTTGTCGTAATTTTTTCGAAGCATCCGATAATCAGGATGCTCTGACATTCGTGCTTTGGCAACCTTTTCAGACAGTTGGATAATCGCTTCCGATATCCAAGTAACACAGCATAACCTAGCGTAGAAGTGGTCCGAATAAATGAAATAAATTGTTTCTTGCGAGTTGTTAGTTTTATGCGAATCTTGGCTCGAACCATAGCATAGTCTGGTTCTTGGAAGTTACCAGTTCCAGCATCCCGATAGAAATAATTATCTAGTACAGAACTTTTCCAACAGTGATTGATATTCAGTATTCAATCTGATGGAGATGTTCGTTATTCAAGGTATTCAAGGAGTTCCATGTGACTAGATGTCTTCAATATCGGTGGCAATAAAAATTTAGTAGCAAAAAGTTCATGCTCTTCGGCAAAACAAAAAACATTCTCTAATGGCGTATGGGACCCTAATGCCATATTTGCCAATTAATGAATTCAGGATGATATCGTAATCTGAATGTAGCATTCCAATCACCCTATTATGAACATTTCTTTCAGTAGAGATGTTATTAATAAGAGTTTTGCATAAAATTTATCTTTATCAAGGTCATCTGCATATAAAGTTGATGACCGAAATATTCTCCCTTCCTTTCCCTTAAAGTAGTTATAAGCCAGCCATACGGTATATCGGCTTCCACTCCATCAAAGTGTTTTTCAAACAAATGTTACGCCATTTCGCTCCAAATTATCCGAAACACCACAGTATTATAGCCAGTACCGTAGCTAGTTTAGCAATTGTACGATACCTGAAGCGAGGAACATAGACCTCCAACAAGCTAAAAGAGTATGAAGAGTGATGGCTTCGCTTGCAACGCCCATAAGGGTTCTGACGCTCCATATTGCTATGATTACATTTCGCGTGGAGAAAAGCATTTCCCTTGATAGGCTTCGAACAATTATCCTGACTCGCAAGCAGATCATATTCTTAGGTCGTTTGATTATGTCTGGATTGCATATTATCGATGTGTCATGGGCTGGAAATGCCATGCGCGTCAGAAGACGCCGAAGCTGTTTCCAAAGACTTGGTTTTTTTAGCTACAGAGTTAGCTACAGGTTTTTTTAGTTACTTGAGGATACAGTTACAGGCGGGTCCCTAGCCACTCGGATTTTTGATATTATGACAATTTACTTCCGTCAAAGGCAAAAAAATTAAAGAACGATGAAAAATAAAAAGAAAAAAAAGAAAAAAGAATCTCTTTTTCACTCCGTGTTGGAGATAATGATTATCTTCTATCTCTAGTCCTCTACTATAGGCCTTTGAGCTTATCTCCCTTATGCCCTTTATCTTATTCCTAGCAATTCTTCTAAAGAAAACCTCTGATGTCGTCCCTGGAATCTGCCAGTTCTCTAGTTTATGGAAATGGTCCACGAATTACTTTAGCCTTTATTTTCCATATCTTCTATAACTATCTCCCTTTCAGTCTCTACTATTTCTTTAGGCTTAGGTTCATTTTTTTTAACTTTATTCTCTCTTCTTAATGCCCTCATCACTTGCTATATCTATCACGAGTGCTGATTTCTGATTCTTCTCTAATTTCTAATTCTACCACGATATCTCGTTGTTTTGCCAGTACTTGTCTGCCTCGATGGAGTCTCACAGGATTTTCGCCTTATTATTCTCTACGGTTTTCTAAGGAATCTTCCATTTAGTCTTGGAAAAGTTTACGCCATACACCGAGATTTTCCTGTAGATTATGTCAGCTATTTGATTATGTTTTTCAGTATATGTTGTTCCTGCTTGCATTTCTTATTCTGCTACTATGTGTTGGACTATTTCTGAGGCGATTTTGCATCGTCCTGTTTAAAAAGCTAGATCATTGTTTCGATGGATCTGGTGCATAATGCTCCTCTGCTGCTATAATCAGTCCTTTAATGTAGCCTTTTAGTTTGACTTTCTTCAACCAGATAACTTTGGTCCTCAACCTTTGAAGAGGATTTTCTTATCCTGGTGGCGTCCGAGCCAGCATGACTCGTTCTCATATAAGGCAGATAGCATTAAGGGAGGCCAAGGAGCCCACTAGAATCTCACATCAAAATATATAGTATATAATATATATAATATGTATATAATATATGTAATATAATATAATATAATATAATATATATATATATATATATATCAATTCACTGTAGGTTAAAAAAAAGCGAGCAATGGTGATCGAATGGAATAAAAAACATCAATGTTTTGGTTTGAATCACAGCCAAAACTTCTACCTTTCCAGAGTCATATCATCTCTAGAGTCGGCTCGGATGCCACCAGGATTAACAAGATCCGCGTCATAGGTTGCAAGACCAGAGTCATCTGAAGGCGCCAGTTACTGTAGAACCAAGAGAGTCTGGCGAGAGCTATTGAAACAAATAGGCGAAACAAGATAATCTGGAATTGATGGAATGCTACTATAATAGTAAACCTAATCAAAGCGGCTACAAGAAGCGTATGAAGGCAGTGTGGATGGAAAAAAGACATCTACATTAACTGAAACAGTTAGTGGCTCAATGCTTCAAAAAAAGAGGAAACTATTCAGTTGATGGATCAATTCTGCGCTACACGCCAGACCCAAAATGTTCAGAAAGAAGAGATTGCCTGCAACAAGCTGGGAAGTTGGAAATTACCTTCCAATATCTCCTGTAAAGCAAAGCAGTAAAATGATGGAGAAAATCCTGAATAAATGCCTGTTAACCATCGAGACTGACTACCAAGACTTAATAATGCATTACCAGACAATATAATTGAAGATACTTGCAACTTTTACTGCCATTATAACAGAAACTAAATGAACGCCATATATATCATCTGGTACTTGAGTTCAAAAAAGCACTGAGTACAATACCAAGCACCAGCTGTTCATAGAGGCAGTCGTTCAAGACTCAAAATCCCGACAGATTAATCGTTTGTGAATGACTGGTTCTATACAAAGTCAAAAAGAACCTTAAAGAAGTTCATTGACAATTTAATGGGACTGTACAAAACTAAACTTGAAATCAATACAACTGGTACAAGAGGTTATTAAGCCGCATATATCAAGATGACGAATTTTCCCCTATTGTTCTGCATAGATTTAAACTTCCTTAGTTAGGTAAGCACAATAAGTGGATACGGATACAAATTCAAGAGCGGGATTTTATTAGCCATCTTTTCTACATGGATAAGTTATATGCTAAAAATAAATGAGACATTGACTTATTCCTTTAATGCCGATCTATAGCAAGGACAATGGATGTCATTCGGATTGAAATATGTCGAAATATGACTGATAGTAAAGAGAATAAATATAGAATGACTGATGGGGTGGACATGACAATAAGATATATAAGAGACATAAAAACTAGCTATGAATACCTTACCTCCGTATCCCACAGACATGCGGGATTATCGAATTCTATCTACAAATAAATAGATGATAGTATTAGATAGGATTAGTAATAGATTTATGGCAACTACGATGAGGTAAAGAAGGCAACATCTAAATATTACCAAAAAATTCTGAGCAGTCAACTGAATTGGAAGAGCAAAATCCATGCCATAAATATGCCAAGCCGCACCCTGCCAGTCATCAGGTACGCAGCTGGTATTGTAAGATGGACAAAGGAAGATATGGAGGCTACTGTAAATCAGAAAAGACTCACAATGCACCGAAACTTTCACTCAAGTCTAAGATATTGCGCAGAACCCTCAACCTCCAAAATAAAGGACCCAAGGTTGAGGATGATTATGATTACCCACAAAAGGTGAGAGGATGAGATTATTCACATATAGAAATATATACAACTTATCTAATTCAATTAATTAATTCAATTAATTTAAAATTTATTTTTTAGATTTATAAATCCTTTGTTTTAAAATTTTTAGAAATTTAAAAGGGCTTAACTTAGTTTTAAAAAAATTTGACAAATCAGAAAGAGTAAGGAAAATTAGGGGACAAAAAAAATGATCGTTCAAGAAAATTTCCCGCACTTTTGCCAAAGCTCATAAAGCTAAAGCTTAAACTTTTAAGTTTCTAAACTAGTTTTACTTGCTAATAAAAATAATTTCATTATCGAATTCTATCTACAAATAAATAGATGATAGTAAAAGTGAAACAATTGACGTTCTATCCAGATCCGATGAAAGCGCTTATGCGATTATGAAATCTCTTAAGCGCGCCATGTTTTTTATGGTGGTATTACACCAATGAATTATTGAATTATTTTAATGAATTATTTTTGAATTAATGAATTATTTTATAATTCTGATGGTAATCCATATTTTTCTTCAATTTTCAAAATAAAATTTTTCCAGTATTATGTAATTATTTTTATTAAATTCCTCATTATAAATGAATGAGGAGCATCATAAATGGACATTTTTTTCGCTGCAAAACATTTTTCTAAGAAAGCTCGAAAAAGATTTTAGCTTTTGGAGAAAAGGGAAGCGATATTTTCCCAAGCTGCGAATCTTAAGAGGCTGGTTCTTACAAGAATAACCCTTCGTTATCTATTGTAAATTTAATAAAAAAATTTGACAATAAAATTTATCAATAGAAAGTGCAATGTCATTTTAAAGTGAAAATTTAAATATGCAAAAAGAAAATCAGTAGAAAAAAAAATACCGAACTACCTCGGACGCTTTAACAAGCATAATGTTTGTATTAAGGAAAGATGATGGGCACGCCATTTCCTGCATTTTTCGCTTTTCCTCGATTGTTGCGAATCGTTTCCATAATTGCGGATATTTTTTATACAGTGATCCTCTGTGAAATTTCATATACTGACCAACCTAAAAATTAGATAAATTTAAAACCTTTCTTTTGCAAAACCTTAAAATAAAACTTCAGAAAATAAAAAATTGTTTAGTTTATTTTCTGTATTCTTCTTATGAATAAATATTTGTTTTAAAAAAAATATTCATACTACAATTTTAAAAATTCGGAAAAAGTGTAATAAAATAAGAATTTTGAGAAAAATAATCTAGTACTAAATTTTTCCCCATGCCACTTCAACTCAAAATCACATTTTAAAAAATCGAAAATGAAACAGTCTTAATTTTTTTTCCTAATTTCCTATGCATATCAGTGACTATTTATATTTATATTTAGAAAATGAACATTGCTCATAAACTCCATCTTTATATTATTAAAATTAAAAAGAAACCTCAGCCCCTATATAATATCGTTCACCAGTTTCATCAATAGTAAATGCTTGAGGTCGGTCTCCATAATATTTCGACGACATAATTAAATTATAAAATCAACCTAAAATTAATTAAAACGCAATAAGAATATAAGAAATCAATCTCGATAAATAAACTAATATAAAAAACAAAGTGAAATGATATAAGATTTAAACAAAAAATAAGAAAATACAAAAAAAAGACCTTAAGCTTAAGCAGATTGCAAAAATTGATAGAAAACGAATATAAATCAACTGCAAATAATAATTTAATTAACTATTTTCATAATAATAATTAACTATTTTCATAATAATTTTATTGCTTTTTTCTAAGGAACTATCATTAAAAATCTGAGTAAAAACGGTAAAAACGATATTTGCAAGAGACAAAAATATTTCCTGAATTTCACACTTGGGCTCAAAATTAAATAAAACGTCGAATAATCAATTATCACCAATTATTTTTTTTGTATGAAATATTGAAAAATTAAAAATAAGTGATAAAGAAAATTTCAAAAAATTCAAATTCAAATTAAAAAAATTAAATTAAAAATTCAAACTGAGACTAATAATGAAATTTCATCAATTATTTCCGGAGAACGAAAGAAGTAAGAAATTAAGTCCACTTTTTCTTCACTCTTTATGGAATACAATAGTCAAGTGGTTGTCCCTCAGATTATCAATTTAATTCAATTCGAGCATAATGATTTCACCTTCGCTCCCGCAGGAATGAACCTGGCAAAAGGAGTCTTGAGGTGCTGAAAATCCAAATGTGAATATAAACGCACCCAAGTGATCCTCTGGAATCGCTGACCCAACCGATGAAATGAGTCAGTTGGTGAGTGTTGATCCTCTTATATATTTCAATTATTTTGAGCTTGTAAAATTCACTAAAAACCCAGCAAAAATATATAAAAATTTACTTGCCAAGAGAAACGAAATGTAACCCTTTTCGACTACGAAATTCCGATTTGAAATTCAGTTTGCGAGGAAGAGATCAACAAAAATTACCTTTTTCGGAAGAGGAAGCAATACGACGCTTCACGGTACAGAGTGCTATAATTTATGGCTATAATTAGTGATCTCCGGAAAAGTCGGCTCGGCTGCGTCGTACGGCTTTATAGCATATCCCATAATCCGCGGTCGAATTGTATTTTATAAATAAATGAATAAGTACAAGTCGTTAATATTTATTATTTTTACAGCATCCCACTAATTGTTTGTAAAAAAATTGTGAAAATTCGTTGTTCAGCATTTCATTTATTACACCACCTATTATTTAAATATTCGCATTGTAGATGAATAAGGTGCTCATTTCTTTAGCCGAAATTCACAAACCAGAAAATTTTAATTATTTTTTCTATTTCCTGGAAACATGTGGTTCATGCCGAACTTTTCTTGCTCCAGCACACAATCTGCCCGTCGGGGGCCGTATTTTCGGTCGCACCATGCACCACATCTCAACCTTCCTTTTTCATTAAAAATCCGTAATAAATTTAATAAAAAACCGGAACAATTGTAAATGACAACATCCTTCAGTCGGACGACGTACCCCTCCCGCAGATGCGTAATTTAGGCTGTAATCACAATCGGCTACATTCGGCCACATTCAGCTACATGGCTGTCATATAATACTCGGCTTCTCAAACGGAAGAATGAGAGTGCAGCGCTATTTGTGGAATTGGTAAATATGGCTCAATATATGTACAGAAAAAGTATGGGCCAACGTTTATGAAGGGTCGTTGAGATTTCAGTTTTCCGGTGGCAGAGTTGCTTCGTGTTTGTTCCCCATCGGGGTTTTTAACGATAGATTTTAATTTTTTTGTCACTTATGCTATTATATATCATATTCTAACAGTTCGCACCATTACTGCTCCAGTGGCTATACTACACTACACTTCCAAGCGACACGATCTGATGCCATCGTAGACAGTAATAGTATCGATGCCAATCGTCACACGGTTTAGCAAATAATGAAATATGCGTCAACTCTTGTGATGGACAACCGAGAACGTGCTATGACCATCGAAAGCGACGCTCTGTAATAACATTATAAATGTGATATTTGAACGAACATAAAATGTACCTTAGCAAGACTGGTCAAAGGTGCTGTTATATATAATTATATAATAATAATATATGACAATATTATAAAATAATATAACATTAATTTTGTCTTCGACAGGAGTAAACCTATCGTCAAAAATCCGAGTGGCTGCTCGGGACCTACCTGTAACTCTATCTCCAACTGACTCGGTGTGGTGTTCTTGATATGGCGTTCGCGTTTTCCGACTCGCATGATGCTCCCAGCCCGGCGGTACATGCGATAAGTATACAAACCGGGCATAAGGCGATTCCAAGGCTGATAGATAAAAAATACTCGCAAGCCAGGGTTATTCCTCGAAACTTATCAAGATGAATAGCTATCTGCACGGGCGATGAGGTATTAGTCGTATCAGCGTGGAACATCAGAACGCTTATGGATGTTGTAAGTCAAGCGATTACTGCCTACTCTCTTTCTAAATATAGTGTGGATATCGCTTGCTTATCGACGGTTTGTCTTCCTCATTTCGGGTCTAAGCAATCACTAATCCTGATTTGGAACAGAGACGCTGGTTATATCACTGTGGTGCTTCGGATAACTCGGGGTGAAATGGCGTAGCGATTTCTATGTCTGACAAGGTACATTCTGCTTTGACTGAGTGGCAACCAGTAAACGACCGTATAGCCCATGTTTCTGTAATATCTCCGTGCTATGCTCCAACTTTGCCTGACAGATGACCGTGATAAAGACAAGTTCTACTCGGAACTTGTATTTTGTCTACTTCAATCGTTAAAAACTATACCTCTACCGAAACATACCATGGTTATAATCGGGCGGACTGGAATACACGAGTAGGTCATACCGCTGCAATGACCTCGAGAATTGGCAAATATGGCATTGGAGACCGTCAATGGGGCAACGCTCTTCGCTATGCAGAAGAGCATGAACTTTTTGTTGCTAATATTTGCTTCCGGCATCTAGTTACGTGGATAACCCTCTTCAGATAATTAATACTTCTGCTAGACTGATTAAATCTTAGTCAGTAGCTGTTGGAGGAGTTCCGTACTAGATAGTCGTTTCTATCGCGGCTCTGAAACAAACAATCTTCATGGATGTTATGGTTCGAGCCAAGATTAGCATAAAATTGATAACTCGCAGAAAACAACATCCCAAGATCCTTCAACCATCTCAAACTAAAAAATTCGGAGATAGTGAGCGCATTTCAAACCGAATTATTGAAATATCTCAGTGGTACAAAAATCAACATGTTCACAAAATCAATGACTTTTCTGGTAGAGCAAATGAATATTGGTCCAAACTAAAGAAATATCTTCGATAGTGTATTCTAGTAGGAATT